TTTAAATACTATATGAAAAGATAAAAAATTTCTATTTTATAATTTAAATACTAATTTTTTAATTATTATTATTATTATTTTAATTATAACACCGTTAAAAAAGATTATTGAATATGCTCTTGGTCATATGCTTGAATTTGGGTGATTCTGTTACTTAAGTGACTTGTCGAAGCCATTTCTACAACCATGGACCTTGGGTTTGGACATTGAATTGTTGATATAGGCCTTGTGGCTGCTATAAGGTCAACCATAGTCATACTAATTCGGCCATTCTGTAAATTATCTAAGGTCCGATCATTCCACTGGTGGAGCAATGGATTCACACATTACCAATTAGACAAGTCATAGACTTTCTGGTCCAATGAACTTCCACCATAATATCTTTGATTCAAGAAAAATATCGCTAGAGCTGCCAAGTAAAAATAGTTGCTTGAAACCTTGATTATCCTATTTCCTTTAACGAAAATTGCAAGCCTGAATAAAAAAAATAATCAGACCATGTTTTAACATTGAAGTTGCGAGCTTGCAATAAAATCTTACTGCTCTTAACGAAAGAAGAAGAGGAGAAGAAAAGGAGATCAAGATCGAGTGAGGAGTTGGAAAGAGATTAGGAAAAAGAGATATTGGATGAGTGTGAGTTTTTTTCTTTTAATTGAGAAATGGAAGATTCGTACTTTACTATTTAGACAAGAAGATAATACACCAACTAATGAACCAAATGCTCGGATGTAAATAGGTGCAAGTTTAAAAAATATAAAAAAAATATTTTTATTTTTATGTATTTTTTAAACAAAATTATCAGTGTATAATTTTAAATTTTAAAAATTTTAAATTTACTTCAATAATAAAATGATATTATTTGATGGTATGACAATATATACCATCATATAAGATTATAATTAGTTAATAAACAGTAATAAACATTATCGATAAGGAACAAGAACATTATGGAATCCATTCTTTTGGGCAGGAACCCCAATAGGATTTACTATAATTGAGATTTACTGGAAATCTAAAATTTCCCAACTAACCCATTTGTGAGTTAATTGTTTTGTTTGGAAAACATCCATCATTAACAAATTCAACATAAAATTCTGATTAATGCCTATTGTTTTGGTAAAAAATCTTTGCTAATAATAACCTCCCAATTGGATAGCAATCTAGTACCCTAGTATTTCTTTTGACTGACAGGTAAAACAGTCGAAGAAACTAGCTGTTTGAAACCAATTGCCAATAAAATCAGAAAATATAAATTCCTCGCCCCTAAATAAATTACACTGTTGTTGAGAAGTTTCCTCTATATTTAGCGCGTGACTACCACTAACCCTCCGAACCAACAAGCAACGCGTGTCCTCCTATTATTAGCCAAGACATTTCTGGCTTCTATTTATTCCGCCAACTTTAACCCTGCATCAATTAAAACCCACTTAGCCGTTACTCTTTTGGTGTCTGTCTCGTCTGAAGAGAAAATAAAAGAAAAGAAAAAAAAAAATTATGGCTTCGTGGTCGTCGGCTTTTCTTGTTTTCACCTTTTGCGCACTGCTAATATCACCGGCGGTTTCCCTCACCTGCTCCTCCCAAAAATTCACCAAGAACCAAGTTTACGCCAACTGCGTCGACCTGCCTTCTCTTTCCTCTTACCTTCACTTCTCTTACGATTCTTCCAACACCACTCTCTCCATCGCCTTTATCGCCACTCCCGCCAAATCCGACGGCTGGATCGCGTGGGCCATAAATCCAAAGGCCACCGGCATGGCTGGTTCCCAATCCCTCGTCGCCTACAAAAACTCCACCACCGGCGTTCCCGTGGTGCATACCTTTGACGTCAGCACGTACGCTTCAATTGTGCCGAAGGATTTATCGTTTGAGGTTTGGGATAAGTCGGCTGAGAGTGGAACCGACGGGAGTTTGACAATTTTCGCTAAAATTAAGGTTCCGGCGGATTTAGCGGCCCAAGGGACGGTTAATCAAGTGTGGCAGGTGGGTCCCGGCGTTGGAGAAGATGGCAAGTTGGAAAAGCATGACTTTGCTACCGCTAATTTGAAATCTAAAGCAACCCTAGATTTGAAAAATGGACAGAGTAGCAGTGGTTCTGGAGGAGACACCAGGGTTAAGAAGAAAAATGTGAGCTTTCCTTCTAAATTTTAGATTTTTTTAAAGAGTTAATGTTTGTTAAGTAGAAATTGTTGACTGGGGGACTTGATTATTAAAATTAGAAATTTTGGACTGATGTTGAATTTTTTCTTTTGGCACCAAAAAATCGAATTCTTTGTTTACTAGATTGATTTGGGTCGTTGATGAATTTGTTAAACTTGACAAAAATTTTGTTGATGACAGATTCATGGGATTCTAAATGCTGTGAGTTGGGGAATTTTGTTTCCGGTTGGAGCAATGATTGCGCGGTACATAAGAACCTTTGAGTCTGCAGATCCAGCTTGGTTCTATCTTCATGTCTTCTGTCAGATATCAGCTTATGCCATAGGAGTTGCTGGCTGGGGAACTGGTCTTAAGCTTGGAAGTGAATCCCCCGGGATTCAATATTCCGTTCACAGAAGTATAGGAATTGCCCTTTTCGCTCTTGCTACTGTGCAGGTATTTGTTGGGAATTTATATGCAATAGTTTTAGCAATTACTATATCTTTTGGTGTGCATCAAAATGGAATTCTTGCATCAACTGTTCGGTGATTTTTAGTTTGCCAACTTGTTCTCTTGATGCTTAAGTTTTGAGATATTTTTATTGAGAATTTGGAAGGGTCGATGTCTTTTGGACTTATAGTATTGTGTGAATTGAAATGTTCGCTCTGAGAGATCCTTTTCCTGTTAGATTAATTGTGAGAATTGAATTGGACTTATAGCATAAACAACTCATTTTTGTGCGGGCACTCAACTTGGAATTTATTGTTTGTTTTTGTTAGATTTTTGCCTTGTTTTTAAGACCCAAGAAGGAGCACAAGTACCGATTCTACTGGAACATTTATCACCACAGCTTAGGATACGCCATACTTGTCCTTGGCATCCTCAATGTGTTTAAGGGTTTCAGTATCTTGAGGCCTGAGCATAAGTGGAAATCGGCTTATATGATTGTGATTATTTCCCTGGGCGGGATTTCCTTGCTGTTGGAAGCCATTACTTGGGTTGTAGCCTTGAAGAGAAAGTCTGGGAAGTCCACCAAACCTTATGATGGATACAACAATGGTCAAGCTAGACAGCAGCCGCTTGCCATGTAATCAACTAATTCTTGCAGCTCTCCTGCCCAACCTGATTTTGTAACATGCTCCTTCCTCCCCTCTCATGTTTGAGACACTGAGGTTTATCTATTTCGGACCACTTATTTATTATTCTGTCTCTTGTATAATGGTTTGATTCTACATGATGTTATTGTACTTGGTATATATATATATATATATATATATGTAGTAGCATATTGCTGAATATTTCAGCTTTCTTTTTGTGTGTGTCTTTGCAAATAGGATTTAGGATGGATGGAAACTTTCGCGTCACGATTTTGAAACAGTATTCACCATTCTTTTTTCTTTTCACCCTCGTATATCGGGGTTCTAGGCTTTGGAATCAAACCTCGGTTTTTACCTGCAACTCTAGAAGGTTTTATTGATATCTGAACATCTGATTCTGTCGACATAAAGACCATTGCACGGACTTAAGTAAATATTCTCTGCTTGAAACACCATTTTCAATCTCTTTCGGCAAATGTAGTAGTTTCCTATCAACATTATCCAGATCTGATGCTACAGATAGCGCTGTCTCGCTTTTTTTATTGTTTTTCGTTGACATGTATTGTCATTGTCGCTTCCATCATCGCCACTGAACAAAGCAATACTAAAGCTGGAAGATTTGTCACCGAATTTTCAAAATCTTACGCGATTGCTTGCAGCTGATGAATGCTAGTGATGCGGAACTACTGATCTATGGAAATGACCAGTAACATTTACCAACGTCATTAAAAATTTGGGAGTAAACGAAAAAGGAGAAGGTTAATAATCCCTCATTCTGATGTGTGAACATCAGTCCACTTGAATTCGACCTTTCACTACCCAAAGAACAGAGTGGTGATGTCAAGGGAACCAAACATTCTGGTGAAAATGACATCCAAATTGAGACAGCTCTTGGTGAATTGTTGATAATCATACCTACTTTGGTGCTTGCTTTGCTACATTTGCGTGTGAATTTGACAAGATAGGGAATGGTTACAGTGGAATACATTTGATGCAATTTGTCAACTTTTACGGTCCTAGGAAATTTCTTGAAGCTGAGGGAAAGGGATTCAGGGTCCAAACTTGGATTGCGCGAATTTTCTTAGATTCTTACCCGGGACTGGGGCTGGGACTGGACTGGACTGCCAAAGTGCCACCTTTTCTCAGCAATTATATTCACCAAACCTCATTCTAATTGCTAGTTTACTTTGACTTTCACTAGGTGCTGCCCTCCAAGACGGGGGTCCCTTCCCCGGTCCATGTGCTTATATAAATTTTTCCTTGCTTCCCCACTGCTTTAGCTTTTGCTTTTGCTCCTTTCTTTCTGATGGTTAGCCTTCTTTATGAGATTCCCATATTATTAACAAGTTTCTCCCTCATTACTTGGAAGAAAAATGCCCCCCGCCTGCTGTTAGATTGTCCTCTCACTAACGTAACGTGTTTTTTCATTTAGAACTGAAGCAGGGTGAAAAGAAATCTCAACAACAAAATGACTTTCTCAGCCTTAATGATGGGGACCTTTGGGCTTCAACATACCGTTAGGAAGTTTGATACCAACAAATTCCTTTAATCTCTATGTTGATTAAAATACTTTTTTTTTTACTTCATATTGATTAAAAAAGACACGCATATAATCATATTGTTACTACTAGCAACGTGATTTTGACGCCAAGATTGCCTAAAACATCAAAAACACTATCTGGACGGACGTTAATGGCACGGCGGGCAATGTAGGAGAGTTGGTAGGATTATTGACGTCGCTAGAAATAGGAGATTAGCTAATGCGACATAAAAAGAAGGGTGTTTTCGATAATGACAATTGACCCACACATAGCCCACGGAGGCTTTCTCCTTGGCAATAATCAGTGCTGAGTTCTTTAGATTTGCGATTAAATATTGTGTTTGACGTGCATGTGAACCCGATTGACAGGACGCCATGCTTCTCTTTTAAGCTTTTTTTAAACTATAATACCCTCTATGACTATGTCGTGGACATCTTACCAAAGACTGGGGAACATAATTTGTTACACATACTCCAAAACGAAGGATTGAAGGAAAGCAACTGGAACGTCAATCTTTTTAGTCAATTCAGTCACAATACCTTTGCTCTTGATGCTTTGCGTTTTCTTTGAATATATAACACCCTTCAACACCACAGCTCTTCACGCTGCAGCATTGCTTTTGGTTTCTAGTTTTGTATCATAACCTAACTTCAAAATCTTAAAATCTCTATCTGAATTCTATTTTTTCATACCTAGCAGACAAGGTCATTGAAAAGCTGGAGGTCAAAACCTAACCTATTGTTTAGCAGGCGAAGATCAATCCAACTTTTGATTCCAAAAAAAGCCCAATTGATAATTGTAGTGAGATAGGAATAAAAAACACATCGGTTGCTTTGTTGGAAGAAGCGCGGCGAATATTCAATACGGCTGGTATTTATTAGAGTGGGGTCATTAATTAAAATAAAGAAAAAGAAAAGAAAATGGGACCATATGTCATAATGATGCCAGGATGACTAAATAAATAAGCTCTTACCACGTGTCTACTTTATTGGCAAAATTAACATATCTTAATAATGACATCATGGCTGCATCACTAATCTTAGGCGATGATTACTCTTCCAAAATTTTCAAATATAGAGTTTGGGGTCTTGCAAGTTGGGCCACGGGGAAACCAAAATTATTTCATCAATCTGGCCTGCTGAGTTTTATTATGCTGCAAAATCCATAAGGCAATTCCCAGAAAAAGCGCTAGGGCTGCTTAAACTATTCACAACACCCCTCGGCTGCCAGACAAGATTGTTTCATTTCCTTCTTCTCTAATTAGATGTCTAATTTAAAACCAAGAGCTAAAGGTTCTTATTAAATTTATATTTTTAAACATTTTTAAAAATTAATAAATATAAAATTTATTTCATTGTCACTTTTATAATTTTTAATAAGATGTTGTTTTCGAACATACTTTACGAAAATAAAAGAGTAAATAACGGAAATGAAAGTTATGTATGTATATATTATAATGACATGATACGAAGAAATTTCTTACATATATAAAAACAAAAAAAAATCTATAGAATAGTATTTGAAAATTTAAAAATTAACGTAAACTGAGAATTTTCTTTTTGTTAATGATAAATATTTGCAGGTCGTTGCTAATAAGAAAGTGAAAGAAAACAAAGAACCTTCACCACTATAATCTACATGAAAGCTGCCTTTTCTATATATTTAATTGAATTGGGAAACTTGGGGTCCATTTTAGAGAGAATTTTAAAACTCTTAAAGCTACCATGCGTGAGATTGTCTGAGATTTTATTTTAGTGCCTTTTGTAGTCATCGGAGGGACAAAAGAAATAAATAACAAAGAAATTTTAGCGTGAGTTGGACAGGAACAGAAACACCAGCAACGTTAGTGCCTGAATTCCTAACAAAGTTTGTCCTCACCCAAAAAACGTTTGCCTTAATTTGGTTTGGACACTTGACGCCGACTTAAGTCATCCACTCCCAACCTAACTGTAAACTTAGCGTGATCATATGCGTAATTGTCTTTTATGTCATTTTTATCACGTTAATTATAGATTTAATAAATTAAAATAGGATACGTAAGTAAAAATTATCACATAAATTTAAAATATATTTATGTTATAATTTTAAATTACTTGTCGCACCATAATTTTAAATATACTGCTAGTGCCATAGAAGGATTACACTGCTTAATTTTGCGAGTTAATAAAAAGAAAATGAAGTGGTACAAAATTACGTGTCAGTTACCAAAAAAATAAAGAGAGAAAAAGAAAAAGAGAGAGGGTGACTCCTAACTTGTCTCATTTATTTATTTTTTGGATCTTTCTTTTGGGTCGATGACTCCTGAAGTCCTACCAACCCAACCCAGAAACAATGACAAGTTTTAAGGTCTTGAAGCAGGAAGTTTCACTGAGGTTGGTGGGAGCGTGTGCGTTGAACCAAACATTAAAACCTCCGATTTGACTAGATTAGTCTCTTAACCATGAGTCAATTGTCAACTATAAGTCAAGCATGATGGTGTCCTTATACTTACCTGGTTACCTGTGCAGATACTTGTATCAAAATCCACGAAAAGCACATTAATGGTAGGAAGTAGAAACTAGATTTTTGACCAAGAACATGGTAAAGAGAGTAATCAAGTTTGGAGTTCTGGACCATCAAATCTCTTTTTGAGATGGTGGAGCGTGCCGAGTTCACGACGGAGGGGTCCAGCCTCATCATTGCCCAAATCCAACAAGCCAACATTTTATGCTGATATTTTAAGCTTGATTGATCTATCATTGCCCAAAGTCCAACAGGCTAACAGTTTATGCTGATATCTTAAGCTTGATTGATTCGGCTTGCTCAAGCTTAAGCTTTTGGAGGGCTCCTTGTTGGATATTCTTTTCGCGGCAGTTGCGTGCCTGCTTCTTTTGAGCACTGTTTTTTCCAAAGTCTTTAACATATTCCTATAGATTTAGAGAGGAGCAAGGCGAAATAATTAAACTCCAAAATTAAGTGCAGCCATTACAAATTTTGAACCTAGGATTTATCCTGTACAAATGGGGCAACTGGCTTAGACAATGAGCTGAACAAGGCTTCACGCCAGAATAATGGAACCACATTATCTAATTCTGACAAAAATAAAGAAAAAAAAGGCAAAAAGCGTTTTCTTAGACTGTGCTAGGCCTACAAAAATTAAAGCCCAAATGGCGTATTTAGGCCTGTCCTGATGTTGATGGCCATGTCATGTCCAAAGGAGGTGGTCCTTCTCGCTCACCACCAATTGCTAGCAAGTCCAAATAGGAAGAATGTAATTATATTCAATTGTTATACGTAATCTCTTGCAGCTTGGTTTCTGAAAAAATCCAAAGCTGGGACAAGAAACTGCATGTCTTTCCCACCTGTCAAAGCTCATATTAGAAGTAGACCAATTACTCCTTTTTCTTTCCTTGTCAACAAGATATGAATGCTTTTATTTCATTAAAATTGGGACCAAAAATGAAAAAAGGCATGTCCTAGTACAAAATATAAAGGCATGTCTTGGACGCCTCCCAAAGATCATTTAGATGTTGACAAGCTCATGGTAGCCGTGCGTTGCCACGCTATTTAATAATTGTATCCAATTTTTGGTTTTTTTTTTTTGTATTTGTTGAGGTTGAGCAAAATTTTAAATATGGAAAAAAATATTTCTTCAATATTTGCTTGATTGAAATTTAACAATTGACCAATGCATTTTAATTTAATTTGACCATATGAAAAAATTTATCAAAATTACTAGATGTAAAA